AAACAGTAGTGTTTTAGTGTTTTTAGAAATGCGTTTTGGGGAATTGTGATAGGTATTTTTGATGGTTAAAAACCTTTCACTTAGGTAACCGGGATTCGGTCGTTTCCACGCTAGGCTGACAAAAGACACACACAAGCTTCGTTCATGTTCCCAAAACGATTCTCTGCCAAGTCCATGGTTTTCACCCGAGACAGCATTAAATCAATCTTTATTTCTTGTCACCCCTTAACCAATTACAATCAGTATAAGAGACTCCAAGGCCTTGCCTTCCAACAAACAACCAATCACATGAAAGTTTTACACATCATAATCAATTGATTAATCGTCAAGCTGTCTAGAGAAAACATTTCTATACATTGTCAACGCTAACTAATATTGATGGGGTAATAGTCTCGCACTAACATTCCACAAAGATACCACCTTAGTTAAAATCGCAAACAACATTGGTTTAGAATTACAGCTACTGTCTTGTATCTTAAAAACTGCAGAGTCATAAGATGTTTTTGGTTGATTTCGACCAGCTCGCCATCTGGTCTTGTCATTAACCTTTATCAGTATATGTCATGGCAACCACTGTCAAACTGACTGAAATATAAATCATGATAGAATTATTAAAGCACTTTTTGATGAAAATTAAGAGCATTGTAAACACATAAAAATACACTGTTTTTCGGGATATAAATGCGTCATTGAAGTGTTTATTTATAGTATATTTATGGACTAGTGCATCCAATTTCATGCAAGCAGTATTAACAATATTGAATGAAAAGTCTGGGGACTTGTAAGTACACGGGTGGATATGGTGTATATGCCAACAAGACAATCACCGAAAGTGACGTAATTCAATGCATAATGAGATGACATTACCTTCAGAAAACAATTGTATGTCAAGCACCAAGTAGTGGGAGAATTTATTGTATGTACGCTTTTATGGTCTTACCAACCTAAGTACAATTCGAAATCGAAACACGTGGTGAATTAGCTACCTAACGCATTTTAATACTCCGCATTTGATGAACGGTAGTTGTAGTTCCATTCAGAACTGAGCACTTTCACATGTCATTTTTTTTCCCGAAAACTGTTTGAAACACTTCAGAAAGCAAAATTACCAACGATAATTCAACCCAAAACACCAGATTATAAATGTTTTGCAAAGTGTTATTGTATAAGGCACAATTGTGTTCATAAGCGTGATTAACACTCTTTCTTCCAAATTGTTTATCTTGAAGCACATCCTGAAACAAACAAACATGCAATATCTCAAGGGAAAATACCCGACTATGCATGTTTTATGTATACGTGTCGTACACAAGTTCATAATAGTAACTAAAACACTTTTCTTTAAAACTGTTTTATTTTGAAGTCCCTCCTAAAACACACTATTATATAAGTGTTCATATACAGGACACTTTTGTATGCCGTCTTAAGTACGCATTTATAATAAACAAAATACTTATTATCGACTGTATGCAGCATATTTATTTGAAAAAAACGCTCACACACAGTGTTCGAAATTAGCGTCGGTCCGTCGGCCTCACGCCGACAGTGGGTGTAAAGGGCCTAGAGCTGTGAAAAACCATCAGTCCTTGCGACCGACCATAAATTTATATTTTAAAAAAATGTTCCATTATTTAGTATGATTGTAAGACCACATATATAATAAATATCTATAGTAACTCCAGAATTGTTTCAAAATTGCGTTTTCTTGCACGTTTGATCAACAAATGGCATCACTCATCGACCTGGGCATACGAGTCATAATTCAAGCTGGTCTCATGCCACTAATTAACCAATGGCCAATTTAAATGCCCAGCAAGAACCAATGAAATTTTTTAAATATTATTTTTCTCAGGTGCTCCCTGTATGAGGGCGTAATCACCTGGGTCAGAGGTGAGACCAACATGTGGTCTTTTGTTTACTACTTAGCGACTGTGTACCTGTGGGTTTATTCTGTGTGTTAATGGATGTTCTAATCTTGGTGGTTTTCCAGTGATTTCTCTTGGTGCAATCCAAATACAGTAGGTGTGTCTTGTTTACCTGGGATATGCAAGAGTTTGAGCTGGCCAACATGTTAGTTTTTTTCATATGGTTGATTACTGGCATGTTGATTTCCCATTTTTGAGCCATATTTTCAACTTTCTTCGTCATTTTCATATAGCAATCTCGTCATATGTTAACATTGTCGTCTATGGAAATTCAATTAGTGGTATGAGCCCAGCTCGCCGAATGATCGCGAAATGCGCCGAACGTGGTAACTGTAACAAACGATCTGATTGGATGTAGGCCGATCAAGCCTCCGATTCAAACCAATAGAATTCGCGCATACATTTTATGTTCCGCCATCTTTGATTTGCATCGAACACACTGCAGAGTTACGTCTACATCGAAGTATGTGGCAATATTTAAACTGCCAGGAGCCTGCTGCTAAACGTGTGAAAACCACACAAGAAAGGCGTGACAAACAGCAAGAATACGAACGGTCCAGGCGTAAACCACGCACATTCCAAGTTAGCTGGCAGGCGGAGTTCAAAGACTGGTTACTTTTTGATAACAACAACAAGGTTTGATAACAAGGTGATGTATTGCCGGCCTTGTCGAGGATCGTGCAGCAGAATTGATCCTTGTAGAAGATGAGGCTGACGCCAATGATTGTGAGCATGATGCAAAATGCATGTCAGATTCAGAGTCGGCCAGTGATCATGACAGTGTTTTTTTCTGAAGATTTTGTTGAGTTTAGTGACGATGAAAGAAATGATGACGTCTTTGAGGCTGCAGATAATATATCTGATTAATTAGTAAATAAAGGTTTTGTATGATCCGTTTAGTCTTTGTTTGTTAAATATCAGGGCCTACAGTTAGCTAGAAGGACCTACAGTTTTAATTTGACATAGGTCCTTCGGGCCTGTTATGATTTTCAGTTAATTTCGAACACTGCTCACACAGGCATGTAAAGATAAATTTATTGATTTTAGTATTTTCAATAATAAACCGCTTTATATATTCATATATTTTGCGAGTGTGCATATCACGTACCTGTCACAAGTTGAATTCCCTCTGCTCTATTCATTAGATTCATTTTTTTATAGCTATTATTCTATTGGTGGAGCCTCAGCGTTGAATTCCAATATGGCGATTACCTCACACCTGTGCAAATTTGCGTCTAATTTAAACGAGCTCCTCTAAGTTTCTAATAATACATAATCATTTAACTGTTATTCAGAAATTCCATTAATACAATAAAAATACAAAATGGAAAAAATATTGAACAATAATTTAGTTTGCTACTTCTTGCAAACATTTTGAGATACCTTTCGTAAACAACGGTGTTCACGATGCACATCATAATATGTAGCCTGTTCAAGTAACTGGTAACTTGTGTCGTGCGCACACCCATTCAATGATTGAATTATACTATCGGGAATATGTGGACAGGTGGCATTAAAGAAGCAACAACAATGACGCCTTTTTAGATTAGAGGAAAGAAGGGACCGGAATTTATCCTAAACAAACCTGAAGGTATGATAATATTGTTACTCCGTTACGAAACATTTGGAGAGTGTAATTGATAGAGCACGTGTCGACAGTGTACTGCATTGACATTTTCAGCGGCCTCCATTCATTTCATTATGTGTGGGATAATTGACTAAACTCAAGTTTATGCATTTACAGGGGCAGATAATTCCATACTGCATAACGAGACATGATATGTGGAAACTCTTCAAAATGTGTGTTTAAAGGAAATCACTTATCAAAAAAGTTGTGATAGTAAACACTTCATTAAAACATGTCTTCGGTTGAGATACTTTTTCTGTCATGATAATAAACACTTTACAAAATGTGTGTCTAGTAAAATCACTTTTTAAATGTTTTATGTGTAAAAACATCCCTGAAATGTTGCAATAAAACACTAACTGCATACGTTTTCATAATATACACTTCTCGCAATTATGCAGATTATAAACACTAAGTGTTTTTAAAGTGGGGACAAGCTTATAAACACTTTAAATTTTTATCACAAAACAGTAACAAAAATTATTTTAAAACAGTAATGTTGTAAAATAACTCATTTGCGATTTTATGAGTTTAATTATTAAACACTTTATATAAAGTGATTTTAAAGTGGGGACAAATATGTCATATTTTAAAACACATTTACAGTCTACGAGCTATTAGTAAATAAAAGTAAGCTGTGCTTCCAACTTACGAGCTATTAGTAAATATAAATAAAATAAATATAAATATATATGACTGTAAGGATTCAATCGATGAGATATAAAATGTGTGCGTGACCGAATTTCCTCATCGAGTTATATGTAACAACTTAGTCGACAGCATCAACATTCAATAATATTTTAAGCTCTAATGGTTTCCTGATGACAGAGACACCATATGCTACCAGAAGAACATTGAACAGTGCACATTATATACGAGAATCCCCTTAATTATACCCGGCGGGAGGTATATCGCAAAGAACACGTCCAAAATTCAAGAACTTCACTGCCCATTGTGCGACCTCACCTGGAAGGTTTAGCGCATGCACGATTTTTGGCATGACAATTTTAATGTGGAAAATGCTTTATACGCTGACAAAAAATAGGATCTTAATCTGAATTATGTAAGAATAAAATAGCTGTTCACATTTTACACCTTGCCCATGTCTACGAAATTACGTTTTTTTATTTTTTTATTTAAATTATATTGTTACAGAAAATAAAAACATGTGGTTACAGCTTACGAAAATATCCCTTGTTGACCTTCTTTAGACCTGTTATTTCTATATTTTAGGATGAAGATGAACAAACTCGTCTCAGTGGTATTGACCAAACAAAGATTATTAAAAGAGATATATCTGAATTGGTTTCTGAAAGTACAGGTATCTATAAAAAATACTCCATAGATATATATATAATATGGTACCACATCGTAATGTATCGGATTGTATTTTATTCTTTCGTATTTTTATCTGTAGATATAAATTTAAGTCTGGACAGTTTATTTCGACTCCTTGGAACTGGCAGGGATGGGCGAGATGGCATGCCGGGACGAGATGGACGAGACGGTTCTCCTGGAAATATAGGACCACGGGGAGAACCTGGCCCACCTGGGAATCCGGGCGTACCCGGAGAAAGCGGAATACCGGGAAAAGCAGGACCAGGTAGGTAGACTATTCTACGACTGTCCCTGAAAGTGAGGTACGTCATCTTGCATATGAAATATAGAATTATGTAATGCCATATTAATGTAAATTAACACTGTTGGCGAATGCTGTGACGTGGGTGTTTATTTTTTTACATTTTCATTTCTTAGTTGGCCCACCTGGTTTGCAAAATTACATCACGGACACTACGCATACTAAAATGGCTAATACTAGTGCCTTGTATATTAGGTGGGGAAGAACAGAATGTGAAGGCGATGCACAACTAGTGTACGAAGGTAAATACCATGAACAATATTTTGATTTCTTTATTGAAGATGTAATATGAATGAAAACTTGTATTTGTTAATTTTGTTGTTTGAAACTGAAAATGGTGAACCCACATTGGATTACGATTTATGGTAGGCTAGTAATATTGCCTTTGCAGCCCGTGCAACAGTATTCACTTGATCATTTTATTGTTTCATCAAACGAATAGCTTCCATGCTACAGGGACAATGCATTGTATACTTATGCGCCAAACCAAGAAATAGATCACAGTAAATTTATATCAGAAATTCGCCAGTTGCCACTAGACAACTTATTTGAACCTGAAAGTGCAATTATCTGGGGAGGTGATTTAAACTGTGTCCTTGATATTAGGTGGGATAGAGATGGAGGGAATCCTAAAAGTTGGAAAAAATCTATTGATATCATAAATAACATTATGGAACATTTTAACATGGTCGACATTTGGAGGTTAATTAATCCAAACCGGAGAAGATTCACAAGGCGAAGAAGGAAGCCATATGTTATACAGAGTAGACTTGATTATATTTTAATTGAGGATAATCTAACTGAATCCCTCTGGCATGATGTTATCAAGGAACTGGGAAGACCACTGAAAATCACGGAGGTACCTGGTAAACTTTGTATGATACTAGGGGACCCGGAGTACGATTGGCCGGTGAACTTTGTTTGCTCACTGATCAGAAACCACATATACTACTCTAAATGGACGAAACAGAAACCTAACTATGCAAATTTTATCAATTTACTTAAACATCATTTTCAAATTGAGTGCATGATCGCCAAACAAAAAATAGAAAAAAACGTCACACAAAAAGAAATGGTCTTCTGATACCAAATTTAAAATAACATTTTTATATGAATTACTTGGAGTGTCTTTTATCTGTGTATTCATGAAATGTATTACATGTAGTGTCAGCCCAAGAAAATAAATAAGTTACAAAAAAAAACAATGTATTGTACAAGTATCAAAAAATACATGTTTTCATCCATATTGTATCACAAATCTATTTTGATTAACAATAATGCGCGGGTACCGTATTTCTTAAAAAATGGAAGATTTTAAACTTTATTTGATGTTATTAAATATTACTTTACTCTAATTCTAGGTGTCATTGGAGGTGCTTTTTACACGCACACCGGCAGTGGTAGTAACCACCAGTGTCTGCCACTTAACCCCATATTTGACGACGTCGACATTGGTACTGGTGGAAGCCGTTCACTTATGTACGGCACTGAATACCAGACAAGTAACTTCGCTCCTCTCGCAGGCGTACATGATCTTGATGCAGTGTGTGCCGTGTGCAAAGTTAAAAGATCATCCGTGCTTATGGTTCCGGCTCGTAATGAATGTCCATCAGAACAATGGACCAGGGAATATTACGGATATCTTATGTCTGATTACCACGATCATAAACGTAGCGAATTCATTTGTGTTGATCGTAACCCGGAAGGTCGCATGGCAAGCAATGCCGATTTAAACGGAGCCTTGTTGTATCCTGTAGAAGGCCGCTGTGGTTCACTTCCATGCGGTCCTTACGTCGAAGGTCACGAATTGACATGCGCTGTGTGTTCAATATAAGAAATAATAAGCTAATAAACTACATTATTGTACATCTGTCATCGTAACGCCATAATTTACAGCGTGCTGTAAATTTTGCGGTATTGCACGGGGTATTTTCATCCTACCATATTAGGAAACGCGAATTCCAAATATGGAACGATTACGCGATTCATATATTATAAATATGATGAATGTACGACACAACATAATATGATGAATATAGAACAAAATATGATGAATATACAAAACTTATTGTATTTACTCGGTGTCATATTCCAGTGTTAGATTTTCTTGTTATTAATTTTGCAAATGTTTGAATTACTTTTTCATTTGTTATTGTTCCACTTCTCAATGTACTTTTCCTTGGCTAGTTTTTGTGGTGTTATGTTATGTTATGTTTGCAATGTATATTAAATGATTCTGTTCTAGTTGTATCAGCCATGTGCTAGAAAAGCTACTGTTTTCCCTATTTTGGAGTTTGACGTTGGCCAAATGTTTTCCAATGATGTTTTCTAAATGATTATTGTATTACACCCCAGTATCACACACTTTATCGGCAATTCGATTGGTAAAATTATGAGGCCACCGACTGACACTCTCCTAAACATGGCTCCTTTGCCACATACAACATATATTTTGGTAATAACTGTTTGAAATATGTTAAATTCGAATGTTTTCAAAATATATCGATAATTTCAGATACCCATCTTTTGCAAAGGTTATTTTGCATTTTAATGTCGAATGTTTTGGGGGTCGCCGTTTCTAATTCCCCCAGCCCCATCTTGGCAACGCACATCGTTCGTGTCTTCAATTGTACCGTTTACAATCTATTGTGGTGGAAAATACCGCAAAAGGATGCCAATGTATGGCTTTAACTAGAAAGATAATGGCCATAGTCTGTGATGTCATTCTGTATTTATTACATTATAATCAATCACATGTTGTACACAGGGAATGTGCTGGGAATTTTGCCCAACGGAGAGGGTCCACGCTTTGGGTGAGCGGATCCACGTACTGCCATAGCTAAACTCGGCGTTTAATATAGAAGTCAAACGGGAAGAGAAAACTGGTGATACAGTTGTGATAGTAGAACTTGACGCTCTAATTCGGAAACTCCAGTCGCTGGCTACGTGAAATTACCTGTTGGGAGGGGGGCAACTCTGGACTGCTACCGAACATTCCTACACACATATACTAGTCCCGGGCTTTCATTTATCCATTTATATGAGGCAGTTCTCCATTTTGTATCAAAGAATATGATGAGGCGGACGAAAAAGCTGTATAATATTTTTGGTTTTTGTTCCATGTTTCTTGAAATGAGAATGTGGTCGACTGCCCGATGCTTTCACCTGCCTTGTGTGGGTGTTTTGTGTTTTTCTTTTCTAAATAATTTGTTAACGTTCATGTTGACAACGTTTTTAATAGTATTGCCGAATGAGTGTATTAGTTTACTCACAATGCTGTAGAGGAGTATAATATAACATGATGCGTAAATATCGGTTTCCAGTGCAACCGTCGTCGCGCCGTGTCCTGTTGGGCCATAGGCGACGTATACGACGCATGTAAAATACAGGCTAAACAGAGAAGTTAAAATAAGAATAAGAAACATGAAAACAGTCTTGATTCCGTGTATACAGTTTTAAGCAATGGATAAACATAGCATACCCAGATATAATTTAAGGCTGCAGTACAATATGTCCGATTAATATTGTACCTTAAATAACACACACGTACGCAACCAGTTTTCAGTTTTCATAAACTCGGTCAGTACGGGTTATATGACCCTACATCATTGTTCCTAAACACAACACGGAAATACAAAATAAACAATAACAAACACAGTGTTAGGCTGGGGTAAATAATATATATCACGTTGACCTGAGCGACTTTTTATAGTCCCCGTTTGGACTTCTGGATCCGTATCTCTGACATGTTAACTATATTACTATAAATAAAAGTATATATCTTAAATTTGATATCTAACTGAGACTATGGTATAAATCCCGTGGTCGTACACAATACACTGATTTTAACAATTGTGCTTCGATTTCTACTGCGAAATGACCACAGTGTAAATACATTTCAAGGGCAATGTATGTAATAATATAAAACTGTCATGCATCAAGCTGATTAATACACTTATACATCGTAACATAGTTGATTTGAATCACTTTTACGCCCAAAGTGAACTAAAATGGTACTCACTTCACACGTTGGGAATCTAAACATAATATGTAAAACCAGATGACATAGAAACAGATTCGTCACATATCCTTTAATCCTTTATTGGACACAATCATGACACGTAAGATACGTAACAGACTTGGGCCAAAATACAGATTTGATTCTTCTCAGCGTGCGTCAGTTTAAAGGGTACACGTTACAACATTCCGCTATAGTAATGATTCCATTTTTTAAACTTCATGCTTATAAAATTCAAAGTGTTTCCCGCAGACAACATACGAGCATGGAAGGCATCTTCCATGATACGAGGTACGTCACATGGATTGTTCAGATGGCGATATCTAAACAACCGCATGCGCAGTAAACAATCGACTCATCTTTAGTACGAAACGAACACATACAGATTCCACTTGAAACACTTGACAACAGATGGTAGCATGACGATGAAGTCCCTCCAACAAGTGAAAACATATAGGACCCGTGATTATTATTTTGCTTTTATAATCATCGTGGCCCTAATATTTACCGTTTCTAGCATTATGTCTTCGGCGTACCTATACCACAGTGTACAGCGTCAAATCGTGATGCTAGAAGACCACAGAGTGATGATTATAAAACTCCAAGACGACATTCAAGCTATGAAAGACGAACCAGCGGTAAGTTCTTTTTTCTTGAGATTTTAACAAAATGTGTGAAGGCAACTGCAATACACCATGCATTGATGCCAACAATTTCATGTTTATTTAAACTGATCTTCCTTGCTTTGTTCTAATACTAGTAACTCTGTTATACGACACACACTAGGATATTCCGTTTCACAATCCTAATTCATATATATCTATTACAAACAACTCTTGACTTGATGTATTTAGTTACCCTTGTTTACATATTAAAAGTGCGTATGTCAAGAAAAACAAAACTCTGGGCCCCATTATACGGCAGCATTCTATCGGAGCCGAACTACTGCTCCTCCCATTATCTCCAATGTGTTTATACGGTCGGGAGCCGAACGAGAGCCGAGATCTGTCAGAGTTCGATTCAGTTCGATCAGAGCCGAACGGAACAGTGCCCTAAAATAATTAGTATGAAAAAACTGGACTGAAAACGATGTTGGTGTCGTGCTTGTGTTATTTTTTTACATGGCACGATGCTGACAGTGTTGAGATAGGGAAAAAAACAGTCGCAAGTCTGAGCATGGAGGTAGAAAAGACAATACACTGGTGTTATGATTTAGGTACGAGTATGGAAGTACGAGTGTCTCGAATCCATGCTCGAATAAACAGGAAACACGGCAGCTAAAATGTGTTACAGCCTATTATTCGCTTAAGTTATTGTCATGCAAAATTACCATTTTGTAATTATTCAACTGTAGTGATATCTAAACTAGAATCACAGGCCCTCTATCTACATACGTAGAGGGAAATCTAAACCTACTAGGAACACGCCACCGTACCGTGATCGCTTCTACGATTTATATCTTTAGTGTCTTTAAAAAGTTTCCGTTCAGTCGTTCTTTCAAGTTTTTGTCGCATAATTTCGTATGCCTTTTTTCTGTTTCCCGTTGAGCTATCAATCTATCGCAGTAATTCATTACTCTGCCAAATATATATTAGAATGCGTACCTCTTCGTCAAGCCGGAAATTGCGTGAAATTACGAAAGATGTTGTCTCCGCCATAATTGAAATGAGAGGTTACTTGAAGAAGACGATTGAGGGCGTGATTTGGGCTCCGATAAGAGGCCCCTGATGGGTACACACGGTCGGGGCTCAACCCTATCGGAGTTCAACCCCAAGGGTTTATTGGAGCCGAACTTGGCTCGAGCCGAACGCGTATACACGGCCATTTTCGCTGGCTCGAGCCGTAGGGCTCCGATAAAATGCTGTCGTGTGAACGTAGCAACATTAAAGGCACCAATGCGCCTGGGAAATGACCGTATTTCAAATTTAACATATCATCGGCTATCTTGCTTTTATTTATTGTAAACCCTTACCAATATCATGTTCGAATCAGCATCGCGTCCACTCTTATGTTGACAGAGAATGGTATTATAATAAATAACGTATTTATTCAGAGATAATCGAATATTCGACTTATCGTATAACAATATGATAAACGTGTTGCACATGACTCGTCAGTGCACAATATGAATATAAGTACAGTATTTAGTTTGTTATAATATGTTTATGTTTCGTCTCTATTAGGTCTTGCCACGTGATGGAAAGAATTTTGAAAATCATCATAGTCAGTCGACCATTTTGAAACGTAATGTTAACGACGACGATCGAGGTATTACGAATATAATAAATGGGGATTTTCAGTTTCAATAGGTCTTATTGACACTGTTCCATAATCCGTGTATTCACAGTAAAGTATGACTTCAACTTCCGAAATATAATTTGCGTTTTTTTAGAATCCTGTTTGAACGTGGATGATGTATTACGTCTTGTGTCAAGTATTCAAGGCACCACGGGCCCACAGGGCCCACCTGGACCCCCGGGATCTCCAGGAGTTAAAGGGGACCAGGGACTGCAAGGGAGACCTGGAAAATTGGGTCCCAGTAAGTGATGTTTTTCATTTGCTACATCTGCTACAAACTTTTGTTACAGAAACATTAAACACCAGGCAAAAACGAAAAGGTCTGTCTGTCTTATTCACAATGTATATATGTTTTTTTAGCCGGTCTGCCAGGTTCTAGTATTAATTCCGAAAGTACATCACATGTAGAAGACTGTTGTGACCAATTGTCCAATGTGACAGTGGGGTCTATGTATATTAGGTGGGGTCGTCAGACTTGTGAAGGGGACGCCGAATTAGTGTATGCAGGTAAGTTGATATGTTAATTATGCGTTCTCAATAGCTATACAATACTATCATGGTGAATATTGCTTTGTAGATTGGACGACCATAAATTATTATATATAAATACGTCTAATATAAACAATGATAATGTCAGAATCATATTGGTAACTAAGAACCTGCTTAAACATATATTTGTTGAAAGTTGCATAATAATGTAACTCATGGGTGATCTCCGTCTATGCTAGGAATTGTGGGAGGAAGTCACTACACTCATACAGGAAGTGGTTCCAACTACCAATGCCTGCCCCTCGACCCGATATACGATGTTGATGTCAGTGGCGGTAGTAGAGGCATCATGTATGGTGCGGAGTATGAGACCAATGATTTCCCTCCGCTATCAGCCATCCATAACCAAGATGCCATATGCGCCGTGTGTAAAGCCAATCACCGTGGCTCAGTGTTGATGGTTCCAGCAAGGAATGAATGTCCTAGCAACAAGTGGACAAGAGAATATCACGGATTCCTTATGTCAGCGTATTATAATCAGAAACAGAATGGCGAATTTATTTGTGTAGACCGACAGGCACGTGGTAGCGTAAACAGCAATTCGAATCAGAATGGCGCTTTACTATATCCCGTGTACGGTAGCTGTGGCTCCCTGCCATGCGGTCCGTATGTTGAGGGACATGAGCTAACTTGCGTGGTATGCACTCAGTGACGTCATTGCAGAGGGTTGTTACATATTGTAGATTTTCCTTATGAACCTGGTAATATATTCATCTCCAGAGGAGAATGAAACACAACACAACACAACACAACCAGTATTTCGTATGTTATGAAACTGTATTCGTATACTCTATAAACGCCCGTTCTCATTGAATTCAATAAACAACCAATATAATATAAGAATACTCATTTATTTAATTTTGAACATAAAATCTATCTTCAGGTTTGAAGATGTACTTGTATAATTTGTGTTAATAAAACAAGTGGGTGCACATTCAGATGCTTTTCCCAATTACTTTCATCATAATATTAAAACATTGTTTGATATTTTTATTTTTTCGGCACTGCGTAACCATTCGTCATTAACCTCAAATTAACCTCATATATGGATGCAATGTCAATGTCTAACGTGTTTAAGAAACACTAGTAATGATGGCGAAACAATTATGGGTGCTTTTATATAGATAATGAACTTAGAATCAGTGAACAAGAATTACATGATTTGTGTCTGACCTATCACTTGATATGACACATGACATCTGACATTTGATAGCGGATGTATTTTGAAACATACTCTCTCGTTGTGAAGTATGGGTACAACTGTTTTCCCCCACTTCCTTCACCGCAGAACACCCATCGTTCTCCAAGTAACATGGTGAGGCGAAGATCATTTCAAAGTAAATGACTCTATTTGTCCTAATAATTAACAAACACAAAGACATTGGACGCGAACTGTAAGAAAATGCTCTAAAGTAACGATGCGTGTCGTGGTTTGCGATATTAGTTCACTAAAGCACCACGTTTAAGCGTATTAACACTGCCACACACGGATCTCGAGATACAATAACAGATTTGTAAGAATACATGAATTTAATAATTAATTTAAGTAATAAAAAGCACCGGTTACATGTACAAAATTTAATACAAAAACTACTTGTGTTAAAGATAATGTTTTTTTTATAGCAATTGCCTATATAATTGATGAAATAAAAGTAGTGAAATCAGATTTTTGTTGCAGACCTGCATAACAAGAAACAAATCAAGGTCGTTTTGACCCATAAAATAACCTATTGAAAAGTGATTTATTTTACACTATTAGAAGACTTTGCCACTGTACACAACATTCATACAATAAGAGTGACATCATTAGTGCTAAACTAGTCGTCTAGAACAGCCCATAATTCATGCTGGACATAACAGTTTAACAATATTGATGGTATTAAATAGGACTGGATAATGGAGTATACAGAGAAGGAATATATCCCAGGTCTATTAGTGACAGTCGATTTCAAAAAGCCTTCAATACTATTGAGTGGCCTTTTTTTTTTTTTTTTTGAAGTATTAGAGTAATATTATTAATTTTTGTCCGATCTTTAGACAGTGGATAAAAGTGGCATGTCCAGCTCTGTAATTAACAAGGGTACTAGCACAGGTTCCTCAACGGGATGCGGAGTTCGACAAGAGGACTCTATATCTCATTTCGTTGTGACAGTTCTCTACGCTCTGATCAGCATATTAGAGGGATTTCTTTACCGAGTTTGTCGCTATTTGATGATATGACATGTTTCCACGATGATCTCCCACCAAGTAAAAACCTTTTTGACAACTCGTCAAATTTGAAAAGAATCTCTGGGCAAGCAATTACAATTGATTCAAAGCTCGGAGAACTTCAGTGGAAAATTACACACAATATTCTGCCCACCAACACGGTTCCATACAAAATGACACCACCAAAAATTAAATCAGTGCATGTACCTTCTGTAAAGAAAGCGCTGAATTATTGTTTCATCTATTCTGTGAATATTTATATGTAAACATGTTTCGGAAAAGGACTAGGGGAAACAGCCCTGAATTTATTTTATTGGGAGATAATTTTATTGGGAGATAAATCGGTTTTGGAATCGATTCTTAAACCCGATTCGTTTCCGGCTTCTGTTTTTATTTTAAAAACCAATTGTTTAAATCCATTTTCATGATTTTTCAGTAAATTCTGATGGAAAATTTGCTTCAACGTGAAAAATACATATATAACTCGTATATAGTTCAAAAACCAAAAAAACGAAAATAGATTTTTTAAAATGAAAACGGATTTTAAAAAAACGAAAATAGATTTAACAAATGAATATGCATTTTAAAAAACGAAAATGGTTTTTCTAAAAAAAATAACGGATCACCGAAACGAAGGTGGGTTTTGAAAATCGATTTCAGAACCGAAAATGGTTATTAAAAAGGCATTATAAAATAAAAATTAATTCTAAAAATGTAAATGAATTGTATAAATGGTTTTATAAAATGCAATGTTGTGAGCCACCTTGGTTGCCATACATATGCCACATACACGCTAAAAGGGACACTGGTATTGTTTTAAAAACCATGCTTGTTGATAGCAATATGAAGATACACTTGACATTGTTTCATCCGTAGGAGAATAGCATTTACTAACACCATTTCAGGTTGACAAAGAAGACTTTCAAGAAAATGGTCCCACATACAATATATGTAAATAAAAGTACGACAGAGATCAGAGAGTGCCAACATATCTACCATGCTCCATTCCTACTGTAAGCCATGCATTGAAAGACACAGATGGCTGCTTTTACAGTCCGCAATGCCGATGGAGCATGGATACATCAGAACCGTGTTCAAATGATTTTCCTACAGTCTTTAAAGTCATTCGATTACTAAATTATAGGTAGCTATCAAGAAAGTTGCAGAAGAAACTGATCAGTGTCAGTTAGTTGCCATTATTACTATAAACACGACCCTGCACATACTGGGCATGAAGCTATTTCCTTCTGTGATAAAGAAACAGCTGTGAAGAAAGCTGTCAAATACCAATTTGTGATATATGTCCAAGGAAAGCCCATGCTGGAGATGGCCAACACACACAAGTAGACACAAGAGAGGAAGTCACGAGGCATACAATTGAAATTGATTCATGCCTGTCACACAATAGAAGAAAATCAACAAAATATTATGATTATGATAATGAAATGAAACTTACTTCCAAGTAAAAGAAACAAAGTGCTGAGTTGAATTTGCTGCTTAGAAGAGTTAAAGGAGAACTTTATTTCTGACCGGATTAAGTTTGAGGGACTGCTAGCAATGAGTGAAAGTACATGCCAATGTATTAAACTATACCTCAGGAACATAGCAATGATCTGGATTTACTACAAAAATGTCGGCCATACATCAAAATTTGAGAGAATTGGAGAGCCAGAACATGAATGATTTTGAACAAAACGAGGTTACATTGCCTTTTCTCTCTCACCTCTCTGATTAAGCGGAAATCGGAGTACTTACCATTTTTATTGTGAGGCACATGTTTATCATGTACATTAAGATTCGGGACTTTCTATCAAAAACGTGTACCATTTTTTGAACAAGGGGAATTCAGACAACTAATAGGAGACGCTGTTATTTCAACAGGAAATAGTTACGGGTGACTTGAAGAACAAAGGAATACAAATATTGGACAGTGACAGCGATTTAAATCTCAAATACCAGTTATCTAGAACCAGACAATAAACATCTTTTCATCACATGAGCCAATGGAAAAGATGTTTTGTAATACACTGACAAAATAATTGACAAAATATGAAAAAATTTAAGAAAATAGTCAAAAAGAAAATGCACGTTACCGATGATGGCCATGTTCTAATTTCGCTTTGTGGAAAACATATTGAAATTTACTAAGGGAAACTTGTCCATACAATTAGTGGTACAGGATCTTTAAAGTGCCTGTGAAATGGCTGCTATTTTCACGCCTAAAATTACCATTGATACAAAATGTGTTTTAAACTCAATCTACGGCAATTTTATTTTTGTGTATTTTAAAACGAATCTCCTCATTAGCTTCTTATTTGCATACAGAAATTCCCCTTGTGACGTCAGAAGGGGAAGTCGCATGGCAGCTTGCATTGCGATACGTGCAAATAAGGCAAATTTCTGCTGCAGTTTTCTCGTCTTTGACTAAATTTTCACTTATGTACTTGTTCGTGGAGGAGGAATGGACCATAATGAACACATAGTATCAATTTTTGTTGCATGGGGTTGAGTTAGATGCGAAATATGTTCGTTCTGGTGTAGCTGGTCACCGTGATCGTCAGCGGCGCACGTTTGTACACTGTCGCTGGACAAAATATAATTTGACGTCGGAATTATCTAGTTATTTAGCAGGTTACTAGGCATGTCACTACACTGTTTTATTTCATCGATTGTCTGG